TGACAGGTGATGGAGGTGGTGGTGATTGGATTGGCGGCGGTGGAGAGTTGACTGGCGGTGGAGGTGGTGGTGATTGGACCAATGGTGGCGGAGGGGAGTAGACAGGTGGTGGGGGAGAGAAAATATGGGCGGCCGGTGGAGGCGGAGGAGAATATACTAGTGGTGGTGAGGCAAACTGTGGCGGAGACGACTTGTGTATCCCATTATTAGTTGGAGGAGAAACAATCCCTTGCTCGGGAGCAGGTGTCAATGTCTTTGGTGTTTGTTTAGGTGAAAGCGAAGGCTTATATGGATGCGGTGCAGGTTTGGGTGCCTGACCTGGCTCAGACTTTGGTGCCTTTGGGTTGGGCTCCGACTTTGGTGGAGATCCTTTCTTTGGGGGCTTGGGCTTCGGCGCTCCACCGTCCGTGGGGGATCTGCATCCGGTGGCCTCACAATCCACCTTTTCGCTTAGTACTTTCTTGCATTCTTTCTCGGATCTCTGTTTCTTCTCTTGCGTAAAACAATTCTCTTTATCCACGATCACAAGCCCCGTCACCGCCTTGGGGTAGCAAGCCTCGTCCCTAGCATCAAAATAGTTGTACGAGAAGGTGAAGTTCTTGAGGCTCGGTAGTGTGCATACGGTGTCCGGCACGTCGCTTCTGAACTTGTTCCTAGCGATGTTAAGGACCTCCAATCCCTGCATGTACTCCATGCCCTGAGGCAAGTCCCCAACGAGATCATTTGCGCTGATGTCGAACACGGTGGTCGTGTTGAGCAGTGTGATCTCCTCCGGAAGGCATCCAGAGAGCTTGTTCCCCGATAGGATCAACTCGTCTAACTTGCCTGCCGTGTTCCCGATACTGCTCGGGACACATCCCGTCAGCTCGTTGTCCGACAGCACGATCACCGAGGCCGTCGAGTTGCCGATGCTCTCTGGGATGACCGATACGAACCTATTGTTGTTGAGGAAAATAGCATCAAGTGGCTTTTCGAACAACTTTGGCGGCAGGGGCCCCTCGAAGTCATTGAACCTGAGGTCGAGGTACTTGAGCTCGGGCAAGCCGAGGACGACCTCTGGGAAAGACCCGACGAGGCGGTTGTTGCTGAGGTCGAGCTCGTACAACAACTTCAGCTTAGAGATAGAGTCGGGCACGACCCCACAGAATCGGTTGGAGTTGAGGTGAAGGAGGCTTATGTCGACTAAGTCACCGATCTCATCGGGAAGGTGTCCGGCGATGTCGGCGCCGTTGAGGTCAACGCCGGCAACAACGGTTTGGGAAGGATCATCGAGCGCAGGTGCACAGAAAATGCCGTTGTAGGAGCAAACATCGTGGCCAACCCAATTGGCGGTGAAATTTGAAGGGTCGGAGTGGATGGACCGCTTCCAAGCATGGAGGGCACTGCGCGCGCTATCGAGACGTGGATTGGTTGATATCTTGAGAAGGTGGCGGTGGGCACGAGTTTTTTCATGGAGAGCGAAAAGGAGAAGGAGGAGAAGGTAGCAGCCGAGAGGCTTCATTTTACGAGGGTTTGTTGCTATAGTCGAACCCTCTTAAGACAAAAGCCAGAGGCTGCTTATAGTAAGATTTTCTTTGTAGGGGGGAAATTGGGGGTGTTATATGGGAATGGAGGACGAACATGTTTTGTGGAGAATGAGATGAAAGATTGGAGGAACTTTGTTTAAGGAGCACCATTAGATTTTTGGGCATGTGTGAGTTTCTATGTACAAAAATTTAGGATATTTTTAATTGCATTCTCCTCCTCTCTTTGAGAATGGATGAGGAGGGAGACTGGAGAATATGCTAAAAATGGGTAATGTTTTTCTCAATTCAATTGATGTTTAGACCTTAAAAGAAATTTTTGGTTCTACTAGTTTTGCTTTGTTGTTGTTGTTTTTCTTTTTTGTTTTTTAGTATTTTATTTAAAAGGGACAAATTTTTGTTGACCTTAATGGGACTCTGTAGCTTCAAGTTTTTGCTTCTCCATTTTTTTGCAATTTAATTTTCTTCAGTTGGTTTCTATTTTATCAAAAGTTTTCGTACTTAAAATTAGCAGCTCTATATAGAACACATGGTCAAACGATCACAATATTCATCATATCAACAATATAAAATACAGGGTAATGTAAAATTGATTACTTTGATAATGAACAAAACACAAGGTTATGTTTTCAATGAAATGCCTAAAAAGGATCATAATTATACTGCAGTTCAAAGTTAATTGTGTGTAATTACACTGAACTTCCATTAACCAATGATCTCAACTCTCAAGAATTAATCTATTCGACATAGTTTAACAACCAACTAGTAATCCATCTTCTGCATATGCACAAATTACATAAAAAATAATATAAACTTTGTATATAATAATAACAACTAAAACAAGAAGTTATTTAATAATATGTATTATATTTATAGTTGAATTGTTACATTAACTACTCTTAGTTGGAATTTCAGAGTTCAATAAAAAGAATATAAATGTAGAATTATCATATATTAATGATAATTTATTTTATAAATATAGGAAATAATATAATTTTGTATGTACTTTGACTATTATAATAATAATAATCATAAAAGTATCACCAGTAAAAAAAAGAACATAATATAAATCTAGAATTGAACAATATAAATTTCATATAGTATATATCTTTTAAGATAATTATGGTATTGATTATATTAATAATATAACTATATAATTAAATACATGTACAATTCGAATTATGTCATTTAATAATTATTCACACATAATTTGATACTTATTTGTTCAGTTTTTTTATTACATTAAACTTGGTCATTATAAAATTTAACAACTAACTTGTAAGACACATTAATAACAATCTAAATTTTTTAGCACTAAAATGTAGCCAAAACTAAAAAATTGTTACGTTCAATCAACAGACTAATTTGTACTTGTTTACATAACAACAATTACAAATTTAATTGGAAATGAAAGTGATAAAAGTAACATAACTTGATAAAACTAATATAAATCTATATTACTAAACTAAAAATTTATATAAGATTTTTCTTTGGCTACATGTAGAACCACATCAATATAATGGAATCCCTACAAATGAAAAACACAAAATAATCAATGGCATAATGGCGGAAAAATACACGACCTTTACTTGATTGGCCATTTAATCACGACTTTCAAACCTTGGCAAATAAATACATGACCTTTACATTCTTGGCAACTTGATACACGGATTTAACGTCCGTCAACGGAAAGCTGACGTGGGTCTGACTCAGCAAACAGAAGTCAAATCATCAGTTAAACCTTGGCAGTTTAATACACCACCTTTTATTTTTTGGCAACCCGATACACGAACTTACCATTTTTTGCCAAAAAGCTGCCACATCATCATTTTATTTTAATTTTTATTTAAATTCATTAAATTTACTTTTATTCTTTTTATTTATTTTAATTCTACTTTTATTATCCAAATTATGTTTACAATTAAAATATATAGTGATTACAAACAAAAAATAAACAGGGGGTGGCCGAGCGGTCAAAGGCGACCGCTGGCCCTAGCTCGCCGTCGCCGGGAAAGGCACCGCAAATTGATGAAGGACGAGACTCGATGGATTTGGGGTTAGGTTTTCTTTTCTTCCTCGATGACAAATTTTTTTTGGACCTTCTTTTATTATCATTTGTGTGGTTTTTTAATACTATTTTATCTTATTTAGTTTCAAATAAATTTTATTTAAGCATTAAATAAATATTTATAATATAAATATTTATAATATAAATATAATATTATTATTTATTTATTTAATTTTCTGAAATTTACTTTTATTATTATTTAACATACTTAAATAAAAAATATACGAATAAACTAAATAAATAAATATATTAATTACATATAATATAAATAATGTAAAATTATTTCTCTAAATGAATAAATATATTATATTTTAATTATATGTTTTATTGAATTCTATATATATGTTCTATTATTTATTATTCATTATTTACTATATTAATATTAATTTATTAATTAAATACTGAATATATTAAATATTAAAAAATATTAAACTAGAATAAAATAAAATATATAAAGTGAAAATTAAATAAAATAATATATTTTTTTATTTATTTTTTGTTTGTAATCACTGTATATTTAAATTATAAACATAATTTCAATAGTAAAAGTACAATTAAAATAAATAAAAGTAATAAAAGTAAATTAAATGAATTTAAATTAAAAATAAAATAAAATGATGATGTGGCAGCTTTTTGCCAAAAAAGGGTAAGTTCGTGTATCGGGTTGCCAAAAAACCAAAGGTGGTGTATTAAACTGCCAAGGTTTAAACTGATAATTTGACTTATGTTTGCTGAGTCAGACCCACGTCAGCTTTTCGTTGACGGACGTTAAATCCGTGTATGAAGTTGCCAATAATGTAAAGGTCGTGTATTTATTTGTCAAGGTTTGAAAGTCGTGATTAAATGGCCAATCAAGTAAAGGTCGTGTATTTTCCTGCCATTATGCCAATAATCAATAGGATTTAACTTCTATAAATTTATTTCTTAAGACAAATTCGAAACCTACATATTACTTATAAATAATTGTCTTGAAATTTGATTTTGTTGTATTATCCAAACTTGTTCAAATTAAGTATGAATAATTTGAAACTCAAATTTTAAAATTAGTTTCAACCAAAAGAAGATATATATTGTAGTAATATTGAAAGGTTACATCAAATTATAATATTAATTTCATTTACCAAAATAACAAAACACATAGTTAAGTTAATTTTTAAAACATTATAACCATTACAATACTTATGAATATGATAATATTTATTACAAATTTAACAATGTAAAAACAAACAAAAAGAAAATTAAAACTTAAGAGCATTGAAGATTTTAACCGATTTTTTTTTATAATAAACGAATAGCCCACAATTATATATACAGTCTGTAGAGAGAGAGAGAGAGATTTATGAAGAAATTGACTCCTCTCATCTCTCTCGCATCCCTAAGAACATCTCCAATGGTATATAGTCCATTTGGAGATGTATAACATGGAGAAAGAGAACTACAAAATTTTGTCTCCAATGGTGAATGTCAATTTTAGTATAATTTGACATGTGTAACATTATAATTGGTTGGGGATAATATATATATGTAATAAATAATAAAAAATATAATAGAGGATGTCTAGAAGTACTTCTAGACATAGAAAGTCTTCTAGACATTTTGAATGCCACATAAGAATAATTATGCCACATGGCAATAAAAAGGAGCAATCTATGGGCCATTGGAGATGCTCTACTCCCCTTCTCCTCATCTCTCGACAACTTCCAGATTTGCACCGGTCAACCTTCCTCAGCGGCGATTGAGTAGGTCCTGGCGGTTGGCCCTCGGCTGCTCGGCCCTCACCCGGTTAATCGCGCCTCCCATGACCGTCTCGCTCAGGTTCGCTTCCGATTTCAAAGGATGTTCTCTGGCGCATCTCGCGAGCTTCTGTCGTCGGCTTCCTGGGTTATGGAGATGGTGGTCGGGTTGCGTTTCGATCGGGTGGGTGGTGCCTCGGTCGTTCGGTGATGTTTGTGTCGGACGGTCGGGGCTTCGTCGCTGTTCTCGGTCTTTCCCCCCGTACTCTGGCATTGGGTCAGGGAGGACCAGTGCTCCGTCTTCTGGCCAGTGGTGTTGGACGGGATGGCGTCTTTTTTTGTTGGAGGATCGTGGCGGTTCTGGGTGGTTTCGGGATCGAGGAGGCTGCTGCCTCGACATCTTTTTGCTCTGTCCCCTATTCTCTTTCTGAGTTCCGGTGGATACACAGGGTACTGTCAGACTCACTAGTGGTGTTAGAGGGTTTCAGTCCAGTGGCGGTTCTTGGGCAGTTAGGTGTTGTGGTTGTGGTTTGAGTCTGACTTGGGTGATGTTCCGGGGCTTGGATTTTGACTTCGCTAGGCCACCGAGTTGGTGTTGGGCAGTTTCGGAGTTGGTCCTCTTTGGCCGTGGGATTCTCTTGAATCGACTTGATTCCATTAGCTCCGTTTGGTCTTGCTGGTTAGGAAGGACTTGTTCTGTTTTGTTTAGTTTTGTTTAGTATCGTGTTTTGTTTATGTTCTGTTTTGTTTAGTGTTTATCTGTTTTGTAGGTTTGTGTTTTTGGTTTGCGCTTTTGGCCTCTGTTTCCTCCCAAGTGAGTACTTTATTATCTTGTTGGAACCGTTTCTCACTCGGGCATTATCCTTTTGGGATCTTTTAGATCGTGGTAGTTTTTATTTTGTAGTGTTGTGTCTGTGTTTTCTAACGTTGTTAGGTCCGGCTCTAGGCGATCTTCGAGTCTGCCTCCCAGTCTATTCAGCTGTTGGTTGTATCTTTCAGCCTTTGACTGCTTTTCTTTTCACGCTTTGTGCGTTTTATAAAACCTCTATCGTTCCCAGAGAGAGAGAGAGAGAGAGAGAGAGAGAGAGATTTATAGAATCATTATTTTCATATGGGTAACATTTTATTGAGTTGAACAATGTCATGATTAATTTGCTCTGAATTTTTTAAGTGAAACATTTTATGGAGTTTTTTACAAGTATTCAAAATAATGTATTTCAATATGTTCTTAAATAAATATATTTGGAACATGACATATTATTACATACTTATATAAGGTTTCATAAGAGCATCTCCAATGCTTTTTTGTGATGTGACATGACTACTGTGAAGCGCACTGTTTAAAGGCAAACATTGTATTCGACAGTAAACGTGTGTATTTATCTTATACATGAAAATAGCACGATTTATGTTTTAAAAATTAAGCACGTTGTATTTACTTGATACATAAAAATATTAGAATTTTTATATTTTAAACATTAAACTATTTTGTATTTACATGATACATGTACATAAAAATAACATTGAATGTAATTACAATTTTTATATTTTAAAAATTCAACTAAGTTAACGTGTCAATATTTGTATTTACTTGATACACAGAAATAACACGAATTTTATATTTTAAAAATTAAACCCTTTTGTATTTACTTAATACATAAAAATAACACAATTTTTATATTTCAGAAATTAAACCATCTTTTATTTACTCGATACATGTACATAAAAATAACATTAAATGTAATTACAATTTTTATATTTTAAAAATAAAAATAACACAATTTTTATATTTCAAAAATTAAATCATATTGTATTTACTCGATACATGTACATAAAAATAACATTAAATGTAATTACATTTTTTATATTTTAAAAATTAAACTACGTTAACGTATCAAAATTTATATTTACTTGATACACAAAAATAACATGACTTTTATATTTTAAAAATTAAACCATTTTGTATTTACTTGATACATAAAAATAACACAATTTTTATATTTCAAAAATTAAACCATTTTGTATTTACTTGATACATGTACATAAAAGTAACATTGAATGTAATTAAAATTTTTGTATTTTAAAAATTAAACTACGTTGTATTTCCTTAATCATTTTTTTACGTAATTATTTTTTTTCTTTCCAAAATTTATTCCTAAAAAAAATATATGTACACTGTTGATACCTAATTTTGGCCTCACCTATTAAAACGCTGCATGTGGATACGTATTAAATAAATATAAATATAGCGTGTTTCTCTGAGCTGATTATTTAATATCGACCGAGTTCTCAAGCGCCTAGATGATCCACGTTCGAGCCGAGTAGAATTAATATCGTCAGTTCGACCCGAATATCGAGAAGACCCGTCTCCAACAAACACAATAATTGTCAATAAAGTAGACGTCAATCGAAGCCGTCAAGTGTCATGATCGGGCCCCTCGAGGTCATCTCACATTAAATGCTAATGTCTCCCTTTTATATATTTTTTAATAAGCCCACTTGTAAGAAGGGGCATGTATATAGAGGATAGTGGGATGAGAGAGAAGGGGGATTCACTATTCATCATCTCCTACAACAACAAAAAATCGAGAGATATTCATCACCTCAAAATCAATAAAAAATGCACTTTGCTTCAACACCGATTATTCACCAGAAATAGGGGTGTATTTTACGTTGATACAATTTCGTTTATCAACATACACATACAAGGAAAGTAAAGCATTGGAGATAGTTTTACACAGTTATTTTATACGATGTCAACATTGATGTTATAAAAAATCACAATTCAATTAATTACTTCCATGTGGCATGGACCTTATAACATTGACACCCATACACTGGAGATGCTCTAAGGAGTCATCCACCGACTCCATAAAATTTGTGAAGGAATAATTATCATATATATTATCGATGTTTCAATCTATAAACAATAAGATTGTTGTTAGATAGACCTAAACTTTTTTTTTCAACAATATACAACTTTTAAATAGAAACGGTATACTATAAAAATAATATAATCAAAATATGACATTTCATATAATAAAATAATAACTACACATCGTTGTTAGAAAAATAAGATTAATCGACCCGCTAAATTGTTAGTTCGTCCATATTGGAGTTTGTGATTTGCAAATCCTTAATCATGTTGCAGCCATGCCTAACCGATAAATATATACTCTTCTAATAAACTAGTATGAGTTTCGTTCAGTGCACGAGTAAGAGATATTCATTAATATTTATAAATAAATTAAAAATTCTTATTAAGTAATATTTATAAATTAAAAATATAGAATCAATATGTAATTCAATTACCTAAACTAATTTATTGAAAATGTTATACAAAGTTTAAATTGTACAAAATTAAATAAAAATGTCTATTTAAAATTAATACACAACCTTGTGGTGCACATAACTGATAATAAATTACATTATATTAGTTTCAAAATAAGTATCATTTCAAAATTTTTATTTAGAAGTTCTAATTGACTATAATGTGATTCCATAAAATAGTTATTTGGTAAAATGTTACCATATATTTAAAAATCCATGTGAATAATAAGTATAAAATTTATATTGTTTCATTACTTAAAATAATTTATTTTGTATAAACTATTCAAATAAAAAATTAAGTAGTTGAGTAATTTATTAAACTATAAATAATTGACTATTTCGTTTATGTCTAGGTTAATAATAACTTGTAAGTTATTGAGTAATTTATTAAACTATAAATAATTGACTATTTCGTTTACGTCTAAGTTAATATTGACCCGTAAGTTATGAATAATTATTTTTTTATTTTTAATTTTAAATAAAAATCTTTTTACTTTTTTCAATATATTATATACAAAATATAAACCATGCAACTAATAAAGGTAATAGCTGCAAGTTTTGTCAATATATTATATTCCAAATTTAAACCATGCAACTAATAAAGGTAATAGCCGCAATATTTGACCAAAATGATTATGTACATTAATTACATTAATTTAGGCGGGATTTTTTAAATTTTGTCTAAAAATATTACTCAATATAGTAAACACTTTAGGAGGGAAACCAAATATTTTTTTTGCTGATTTTTAGTTACTATTTCAAGTAAATATCATTGGCTCTTTATATATTAACTAGCGCGTAGTCCGTGCGATGCACGTGATGATATATTTTTCTGAAATATTTAAAATGTGTGAAATACTAAGATTAATATAATTTATATATATGTAACAAAAATAAATGGATCGCAACGAAGGTAAAAAAATTATAAATTATTAAACACTTCTTTTGTGAAGTAAAATTTGTGAAGTTTTGATATATTTGATTATCAATAGAAAGTATGAAATACTACATGCGGACGTTTGAGATAGATGAAAAGATTTACATAAAATATATAAAATAAATATTTAGATGATGATTTACATAGTATATATAAAATAAATATTTTGACATGATGTGAGAGAATTATGACGAATTAGACCTAAATTCGATTAAAAGGTGAGTACTAAAGATTTCAAAAATTAGATTTTTTTTGACAAATTATGATATAAATTTGTTTAAAACTTGAGTACAAAAGATTTCAAAAATTAGATTTTTTTTTAAATCTTTATTGTAAAAAAAAATTGTACGCTCTTTTTTCATTAACTTATCAATTTTACACATACAAATCAAAATTAATGCAAATCGAAATATTATATAAAAAATAAAATGAGATTTATTTTATCTAAGATTTAGTATATTGCCGGAAAATCTTTGTAAATCTTATTCTCTTTTTATGCATATAGATATTAAAAATATCTAAAAAAATCTTATATCGCATATGTAAAAACTATCTAAAATATTCTAAATTATGCTTGAAATATGTGTGAAGTCACCTAAATTTTTCTAAACTATTTTATATGGAAAACATGTCTAAATACTTAAATTTAACCTATTTTTATATAGATATACATCCTTAATCTAAACAATGAGTAAATAATTTATCCAAATATGTTTAAACGTATCTAAACATTATATGTGTTAACAATATTACAACGAAAAAACATTAAGAATGCGTAGACTATTATATAACGTATGTAAAAGTATCACAATATTATATATTATTATTGAAAAAATATGAAATTACCTAAATTTTTTCTAGACTATTTTATAAGAAAAATATATATAAAAACACTTAAAGTTAACACACACACACATATATATATATATATATATATTGCTTAAAGAATGTGTAAAAAATTTGCCCCAACAACATGTTTAAAAGTATATACATATTATATATAAAAACATATTTAAAAGTTTACATATTTTACATAAAAATATTATATTAATCAAGTTAAATTTTGCAAATTTACGTAACATAATTTGGCATGGTTAAAAGCAATTTGCCTCAAATCAGTTGAGCTTGGGATAATTTTTTAATCTATGGCATGGTTAAAAGCAATTTGTGACGCTTTTTTTTGTGATATCTCATGTTTCCCTTTGACGAATTTTGCCTCACCAAATTTCATAAAAATCACACAATTGTTTTTTTTTTCAGGAAGATTTAAAATATTTCTATTATAAGTAAGTCAAATGAGTTGACTGAGATTTTTTATGAAATTTCCACAATTAATTTTTTTACATCTCTCTTTCAATATATATAGATAGATAGATTTAAATATACTTTAAAAAATAATACGAAAATGGAATCAAACTTGTGCAATTGTGTTTGCAAATTACTCTGTCAACCTGTATAGCATAACTTAGGGGGTGATTGGATATGAATTCAACTAGTAAAAAACTGATTATTTTATAACTATAGTTAAGTTTAAAAAAAGGTGGTATGGTTAGTTGTTAGTGGATATATTAAAATAATATTTAAAATAAAATAATTAAAGTTGATTTGATGTAAAAGTAGGAGAAAATGATTGGAAGTGATAATTAGTGATAATTAGTTAAAATTATGTGAGTAGATGAATAGTGAATTAAAGTTGATGTGATATGTAAGAATGATTGGTTGATATTATTTAATTATATTGATAATATTGGAGATAGTGGAGTTCAGTTAAAGTTGAGTTAAATTTGAGTTTTGATTGATTTTTTTACTGTGTAGAATTTGTATACAATCGCCCCTTAGCATCTCAATTGGGCCACATATGGAAGGGTAAAGTCGTCAATTATTCCCTGACAGAACAACACACAGCTTATGCTTTTAATCATTCATGGCGACATGTACGACGAATGTAACGACGCCGTCTGGGCCTTCCCTTCCCTTTCCTTCCCACGCTTTTCTCTCTCACTTTCACAACACAAAATGTTTCAGTAGAAAATCAAAAGAGAAAGAAGATAGAGGAAAATTACAACCATTAACCAAAAAGCCTTCAGAAGATTGTATAGGCTCGCCTTTTGAATCAAACAAAGTGAATCAAGCTGACTCTAGCTTTATCTGAATCTGAAAAATTCGAAGAATCTATTGGGTTGTTTTTGTTTTCGTATTTTGTTTTCCAGATTTTGGCAAATTATGCTTAGACCATCACTCTGTTGATTCTTGCATATTAGATAGTTGGTTTGCTAGAATCGGGGATTTCTAGGGTACACGAATTGTGAAAAACACCATGGACAGCATACAAGATCTGATCGAGGAAGCTAAACTTCGGACGGTGTGGTGGATTCTCTGTATATTTTCAGTGTCGTACTTCTTGACGCGTAAGCTCTCAATTCCTTCGTTATATTGATATATTTGCTCAGATATCAGAGTATCTGAATTTGATGTTTCCTCTTTTTTTTTTTTTTTTTTTTTTTGTGGGGTTTCTTGAGTGGCTGAGTTGCGAACGGTGTTTTTGTGACCAGTCTTGTTCAGAATTCTTTCTCATGCAATGAGAGTTTGGTTGTTGAACTAAGGAAAACCATGTAACTTGTTCTGGTGCGATTGTGTTTTACATCTTTATTGCTTTTATTTGGGCTTGAACTTAGATTAGTAGTATTATCTATTGTCTGGAGGTAATTTTTGGTGGTTGACAGAACTACTGAATTTGGGACCTTAGACTGTAGCTTACTAAGAGCCTCGGAAACACGAACGAGAAAATGAGGGAGTAACATTTTCTGGGTCATGCAGGTGCACCTATGGTAATTCGTAATAGTTTCTACAGGGAGAACCGTAAAAACCTGTTACATTTTGTTTAATTGCAGTGGATTTCTTTTGCTTTGCGTGCAATACTCGTGAGCCCATTCATTGTTATGGTCCTCATATTCCTCTGTATATATGTTGATTGCAGATACTAGTAAATCCATGTTAATGAATATCCCTATAGCGATACTCTTTGTCGGTGGACTAAGGATATTGCTTAATGAGGTGGAATTCCGCTGGAAGGTTCGGAATAACAGACCGATGTCCTACTTGTCACATTTAGAAAAGAAGCAGCTTTCAGTGAATGATTCTCGTCTTACTACCCTGCCAGCCCCACCAAAGTGGAAAAGGAAAATAGATTCCCCTGTTGTGGAAGCAGCTATTGAGGACTTTGTCAACAAGCTTTTGCATGACTTTGTCATTGATTTGTGGTATTCTGATATCACGCCTGACAAAGAGGCACCAGAGCTAATACATGGTATAGTCATGGATGTTCTTGGTGAAGTATCTGCGAGAGTGAAAGAACTAAACCTTGTTGACCTGTTAACAAGGTATAATTTCTGCTGTGCTTTTGTGCAGTTACAGAAGTTGTATTACAACGGTTGCAGTTGAGTAACTGGTGATATTAGTAATTGAATCTTGTTTTTTCCCAATCATTAGGGATGTAGTTGACTTGATAGGGGATCATCTTGATCTCTTCAGAAGAAACCAGGCTGCCATCGGAGTGGATGTTATGGGCACATTGTCTTGTGAAGAAAGGGATGAAAGATTGAAACACCATCTTATGGCCTCTAAGGAGCTTCACCCTGCTTTGATATCTCCAGAGTGTGAGTACAAGGTGTAGAGGTGTTCTAATTCAAAGGAATATGTCAAATCTTCCGTTATTGGTAATTTGTTTATGATATCTAATACATTCTCATATGCAGGTTCTTCAGCGGCTCATGGGCGGGCTTTTAGCTGTTGTGCTTAGACCAAGGGAGGCCCAATGTCCCTTAGTCAGATGCATTGCTCGTGAACTCTTAACGTGCTTGGTAATGCAACCTGTTATGAATTTCGCAAGCCCCGAGTAAGATCCTGCCTCCTCATCTCTTCTTTTCCTGAGCATAGTTGATTGCATACACCTTCTTTTTCTGTAAAGAACTTCTAGTATGAGAGATCACTCTACTAATGCTTGCAACTGCACTCACAAACCACAAGCCCACACTGATGGCTGATGCCCAAGCATGACAGTATGAAGAACTTGGTATTGTGTGGGTTTTGTATTGGGATTTGGGAGCATAAGTGGTGGATGTGTTTTGCAAATGCAATGATATTGATGTCTATCAATGATCTTAGATTTATAGCTGATTTATTTTGTAACATGTGTTATAGTGGCTGAAATAGGTGACTGAGAACAATCCAATAAGCTTAATATCGTGGAGTTGAAATGTGCTTAATAGTTTTGTGAACTCTTGAATGACATGTAAATGTGTCTTAGTCATTTCCAGGTGGCAGCATCTGTTGATTATGGTTGAATGTTTGGGTCTTTTGTTCTTGTTTAGCTGTCTGTAGCTATTGGATAATATCACTAAAAAGCAGCACTTCCATTTGTTATCTGTAGGAAAATTGTCGAGTCTATTAAACTCTACTGACTGATCGGCGCAAACTTATTAGTTGTGGTCTCATGGGCGATCAATTTCTTTAAATTTTATCAATTACGGCTCAAGCAAGCAATATTTTGTTGTTTAATACTAAACCATGAATGCGTTTCTTGTTTGCCTGAAGCTAATTAGAAGTGTCTTAAAGAATCTCATTTGCTCGCCTGAAAATGTTGGTGGGCTTATTGAATTGATTAGCGGAGGTTTAGTTGAAAAGTTATGAAGGCAAAGTTTTAATCATGCATCTCCTGTATATCGTATATTTTGCGCGCCATGACATTGTTGCTGATAATATTATGTAGTTGTACAACTGACTAGTGTGTAACTCTCTCATCGTATCAGTTTTTCCCTATTTTGACAATTTTGCTCTCATGCAATTTAAATTGTTAACTCTTTGTAATCGCCATTGAAAAATCCAACTATTTGTTATCTTTGTTCCCAGGTATATTAATGAGTTGATTGAATACATTATCCTTGCTTACAACGATGAGGGAGGCACGGATGCCACCGATAATTTTTCTAATGTGGAGGGTCGTAAACGTCAGCAGCAGACAGATTCTGGGGAACATGGTCAAAACAGTGAATCCAATTTGAAGAAAAATGCACCTTCTAACAATCAAGGAACTGACTTGTCTTTGGTTCAATCTGAGTATAAAAGGAAGAAACAGGAGTTGGGTGACTCAGGTGATCTTTTAACTGGCACAATGCTGGATGAAAACATGCACACTGGGCATGCTGAGTGGGTTAAAGTGTTTGAGGCGGCAACCCAGAGAAGAACTGAAGTTCTAATGCCTGAAAATCTTGAAAACATGTGGGCAATAGGAAGAAACTATAAAAAGAAACTCCAAAAGAAAGGTGCTCCAGGGCATCATGCTCCGGAAGTTACAGGTTTGGCAAACAGCACATTTGCTACAAAAGATTTGGTGACTGAAGCGGCTAAGCGGAAGCCTCAAACATATGACCGAGTAGAAGACAAAGTTTTTATGCAACTACCCCCCAGGCCCCAACAAGATACTCGACCGAGTGATCTCAGTACTGATTCTTTAAGCAGTTCTCAAGAGCTTAATAAGGATGTGTTTCCGAAGGATAAAAGCTCTAGTTTACATGAGTTGGATATTTCCTGCGAAAGTAAAAATAGGCTCAAACGATCAAACAGCACATCTGACTTGAAAATTCAGCCCAATCTGGGAAATATGCTTGTCAGTAAAAGCAGTACTCCCATCATTAATGAATACTATAGTGCAGATGTCGATAAACTTAACATGCAGAACATTAGTAGTGGTTCAAATATGGTATTACGCCATGAAGGAATGCATATCCCAAAGCTCAGATGTAGGGTAAGTCCGCTGGTTTTATCTTTATGTCCAAAAGGAACGTTATCTAAACATGTTGTATAAATTTCAAGCTGCTCATGTTATGCACAGAGTTGCTTCATGGCACAGAATTCTCATTTTTTATTTAACACTTATTCTTCTATTATATGGTAAGTTTTCCCTTTTGTTCTTTAAGATGAAAAATTTCACATGCATTTGATTCACTATGACCTTACGTGCAATCAACCCAGGAAAAATGTTTTGGTGATGAAAGAGTTAACTGCATTAATTGGCTCTATAATCTGATTAGCTTTTTGCCGTGGTTGAGGCTTGAGATTGTGGGGCTATTGTCTTCTCTTACAGTTTTCTAATGATAATCTATCCGTTGGCTGGGTATTCTGGTTTGCAGGTGGTTGGAGCGTACTTTGAGAAACTTGGCTCAAAATCTTTTGCAGTTTACTCTATTGCTGTGACCGGTGCAGATAACACCACATGGTTTGTGAAAAGAAGGTATGGAATCTAAATCCATTTTTGACTGCAAAACCTTACCACTTTCGAGACGTATCTACCTTGTATGATGTTATCTATCAACAAGTTTTCTGATTACATCAAGGGAGATATATTAATGTCCACAATCCACATAATATCTGCTTGTGGGATACTGTATATTCAGATACCGGAACTTCGAGAGATTGCATAGGCATCTTAAGGATATCCCCAATTATACATTACATTTGCCTCCTAAAAGGATATTCTCGTCAAGTACAGAGGATGCCTTTGTCCACCAGCGCTGCATACAGCTTGACAAGTATCTTCAGGTATAACCAACTCTGCTTTGTGCTACACAAACGTTTTATTGTTTTCGTCATTTTGACAATATAGTCTTTTCCAGGAACTCTTGTCAATTGCTAATGTTGCTGAGCAACATGAGGTGTGGGATTTTCTAAGTGCCTCCTCGAAGGTGTGCTTTTATTTTCTGTTAAAACCATTTCATTTGTCCTTTGGCTTCTTGACTGATTTGCATTCTTTTACCGATGAAGAATTACGCTTTTGGGAAATCTCCTTCTGTGATGAGGACTCTGGCTGGTATGTGAAATCTCTTCTTGGACATCATTTTTTGTACATTCAACAGCGACATAATTTTGCTTCGTCCTTATATTTTTGGGATATGTAGTCTCATGCTTCATTTCAATTGTTGCTCTCTGTAACAGTGATGGATTTGATATTGGAAGTATCTTAACTGTGTATCATAACTTTAAGCATTATCATTTTACTGAAGCGTTTCAATATATATTAGAATGTCTTAAAACGCATGAATCCATTTTCTTAAACTCTCTGTGTGCATTTTTTCGTATTCAGCCAAGTAGCTAAAGAGACATAAATTATCATTCTGTCAGTGAAATATAGTTGAGTTTTTAGTAATAATATATAACTTCTAATGCGTGTGCAACATTGTCTAATTTTATTTTGTTCTCATGGTACTTTTGTTTTCCGTTGTTTAAATCGGCTCAAAACTTTATTTCCCATTTTCGTTTTGTTATAGCTTCAAGATCTGTGTGATTTGAATTGCGACTTATAGTAATACGCACATGACTCAACACTTATTGTGAAACCTACAGTTAATGTTGATGATGCTATGGATGATATCGTACGCCAATTCAAAGGGGTATCTGATGGCCTTATGTGGAAAGTTGGTGGCTCACCTTCATCTTCTTTTGGACAAACTTCTTCTGTTGTGCCCAAAAGTCTTTCCTGGAATACTGATGATATAAACAAGTTGGCTTTAAGACCAAGTACCTCAGAGTCATTGAACAGTTTCTCTGACAATGATGATGGGGATAAAGATGTGGGCCATGGCGAACAAGAAGTCGAGGCTGTGACCCGAGCTAGTGGTTTGCATTCAGACTATGAGTTAAGCTCAAAGGGGTTCCCAACAAGGGTGGTTAAGCACGATGAAGATGTCGGTAACTTTGTTTCTGAAGAGATAGCTAGTTCGAGGTCGAAATCGGAGTTAAATTCCATGAGCAGATATCCAGAACAAAATCTGTCCTTATCATATGTTCCTCAAGAGGACCCGTCTGCGGTTCCTCCAGAGGTAAGCACATTAATTATGTGCTTCCCGTTTTCATTTATCTTCTGTTATTCTGTATTTCTATATTTTGAGACAATTGTGTCCATGTTTATACAGTAAGCTGTACGCATTATGAATCCTTGCTTTCCTACCAATTTATTCTAATTATATAATTGATTTATGTATGTATGTCTGCATGCATATTGGAAATTATTTTGCACAACTACAACCTTGTTACATCCTTGTTGAAAACTATATATAGTAATATTAGCTAAGTTTGTGAAGAACCTTGTTGAATCCTAAATTTGTTATCATTGCTAGATAAGTTAGGAATTTCGCCACCTTCTTAGTAGCTTATTATCCAAAGTTATGTATTCCTGTGGCTGGGATATATGTCTGTTAGTGTAGCTTTGATTTTGGGCTTAAGGAACTTCATGTTGTTATAAGTCTGTTAGGCACTCTGGATCACTTTCATGCTTAATCTAATTTATTTAATGATGTTCCTTGCAGTGGACGCCTCCAAATTTGAGTGTTCCAGTTCTGAATTTAGTTGATAATGTATTTCAGCTCAAGAGAAGGGGCTGGCTAAGGTGCCACTTCCATTTCCACACTTGTCGTGATGAGTCTTCTTAAAATAAATATTTTATTATCATTCTTCTACCATATGAGGCTATATCGAATTGTTTAAGCCATTTTGTCTTTCTTAATTCTTATAGGAGGCAGGTCTTTTGGATATCAAAGCAGATATTGCAGTTGGTCATGGAAGATGCCATTGATGACTGGCTGTTGAGGCAAATCCAATGGCTCCGCAGGGATGATGTTATCGCACAAGGGATTCGGTGGGTCCAAGATGTAAGTTTCAAGTGTTCATTTTTTTTTCTCTCTCTCTCTCTCTCTTGCTAAACGCTTCTTTTATTTTGGCTATGATCCATACGCAATGGCCGGAAATAGATCTCTTTCTGATATCTCGAAACTTTTATTCAATTTTTTGAATGCCGAATAATGTTCCAACTATCCTTGTCGATATCTTCTCATTTAGGTTCTGTGGCCTGGTGGCACATTCTTCCTGAGATTGCGTGCTCAAAATCAACAAAGTGGCTGTGAAGAATCCCAGCAGACGAGGAAATCTGGAGGGACGAGGCTCCCACAGCCTGGGTCTTTCGAACAACAGCTGGAAGCTGCCCGCAGGGCTAGTGATGTGAAGAAGATGATATTCAGTGAGTGCCTTGGTTTCAGTTTTTTGCCAATAATGTGCCCATTTTTTGTAACTGAAAAAAAGGTAAAGAAGATGAAAAGAAACANAAATTGGCTCATGATTTCCTTTTTTACAACATAAATAAAATAAAATAATCTTTGCATGAATCTGAGTCTCTCTCTCTCTCTCTCTGACCTCGAACAAAAAACAGAAAATTGGCTCATGATTTCCTGTTTTACAACATAACCTGGCTAGTTAAATTGTCGGGTTAACTAGGTATCATCTAACCCCTTTTCTACCTTGCAGATGGTGCTCCCACAACTCTGGTCAGCTTAATCGGGAACAAGCAATACAGGCGCTGTGCAAGGGATATTTACTATTTTCTTCAGGTATAACATCTGTCGAACACTTTTCTTTTTTTTTTCCTCATACCTAGAAATACTCTAGCCTTCTTGTTTTCTTACCAAGCATACATATATACTCATCAGTCTCATCTATTTGAACTTGTATTGGGCTTTATGCCATTATCACTCGTTTCTTCTCGTCTGATAATTTCTCTTTATTTCGTAAAATGACTTGCAGTCCACAGTCTGTTTGAAGCAACTTGGCTATGGAATTCTGGAACTTGTTCTGATATCTATTTTCCCGGAATTACGTGACGTCGTGATGGATATTCACGAGAAGAATGAATGGTGAGCTAATGTGGTGAAGCTAAGTTTTGATTGTTATTTTTTGCCTTCTCTCAGTGTGTGAAGATGGTCAAAATCTCCAGCACTAGTTTTTGTGCTGATAAAATGTTCAAAATTAATGGAGAAAGTATGTGCGGTTAGCTATTTTAGAATATGAGATGTGCATTTGTGCAGTATTTGATGCTTTTTTTCCTTCTTTTTTTTTCTTTTTCTTTTTCGTATGGACCAACTCTATTCATTATGTATAGAATGTAAGATATCCGTATGTAGGGTCATTATTATTATTATTATTATTATTATTATTATTATTATTATTTTATTTTATTATTATTATTATNCGGTTGGTGCACTAAGACATTCGTTATAGGATTCATCACTCGGAGTGAGTTCGTACGATCGAATGAAGCCTAAAAATCAGTAGGAATGCAAAAATCAGGGCATTTGTGAGTCGCGACTCGCGAGTCGATAGTCGCGGGTCGCGAAAATAACTGAGACTCGCGACTTAGATCGCGGCTCGCGAATTGAACCGCGAGAAACTGGGACGAATCGCGAAAAATTGTCGCGGCTCGCGAGAGGACTCGTGACTCGCGACTTATATTTCGTGACTCGCGAAAATAACAGAGCGGAATAGCTATATTCAGATGAGAAGTCGTCGCGAGTCGCGAGTCGTAGTCGCGAGTCGCGAGAAACTGGGCGCGAGCAAAAAACCGCAACAATCAAGTACTCAAGAAGCCACTTAATGCCCAAGACACCTCCTCTCAATCTCACCAAGCACATTCGGATAGGTAGTAAATATAGTTCGGTAGACATGTGTTTTTACCTTGCGAATTACGAGACTCGGGCCTTGGTAATCATTTTCGAACACCAATCGATTTCTAGCATTCCAAATGAAGTAGACGGTAGCCGCAAGCGCCGCTTTCTTCAACTTGGTTTGCCATCCACTCCCTCTCGCCTCCTTTTTGATCCATTTAAGGGCTCCTTTTAGTGTGGACGGTCTATGTCGGAGACTAATCCAAGAACGGATATCCTTCCAAATCTCCAAGCTAAAGGTGCACTTGAAGAATAGGTGGCTCGAAGATTCATTCGCCTCTCCACACATAGGGCATGTCGGATCTTCCTCGAGGAACTCGAGACGATCTTTTGTCCGGAGTCGATTTAGCACCCCCAACCATAGGATGAAGGAGTGCTTAGGGGTATTACACGGACCCCAAACGACCCCATTCCACGGCACCATGGTTTTCCTTGGTCTTAGGAATTCGTAGCATTTGCTAGACCCATCTTGACCTTCCCGAGATTTCCACCTTTTAAGAAGGGCTTTTGCACCCCGCACATTCCCCGTTTTTTCCACCAAGCGTTGTCGAATCTCAAAAAGGGCTTTGAAAAGAGGCGAGTCCCTTGATTTGATTTGCCAATCCCAAATGGAGCTCCCTTGTAAGTAGTTGGTGTGGATCCATTTGTGCCACAAGGTGTCCTTCTTTGCTTGCATGTTCCAAAGCGTCTTGGTGAGCAACGCTTGATTCTACGCATTCAAGTCTCTAAGCCCCAGACCACCTTCCAATCTCGGCAGACATAAACTTTCCCAAGCCACATGAGCACTCTTCGAGCCTCAAAGGAACCTTCTACATAGTTTGGTGATATTTGTTCTAACTATGTCGGGCAAATGGAAGATCCCCATCCAAAAACACACAATGCCTTGAATTACCGAGCAAAGAAGTTCCAATCTCCCGGCATAGGAAAGAGTGTGCCCATTCCACCCACTAAGTTGCCCCTCGATTTTCTTGATCATATCATCAAAGAGCCTTCCAGTGATTCGGTTCGTGGAGAGAGGGATATCGAGATACCGAAAGGGCTTTGAGCCGCAACGTAAGTTGGTGTCATCGAGGATTGAAGCCCGAATATCGTTCTTGACCCCTGCCAAGTAAATATTGGATTTTAGCATGTTCATCTCGAGCCCTGACTTAGCTCCGAAGTCCTTAAAGCAATCCATGAGAATTTTTATTGACGGAGGGTCTCCACGAGAGAGAAGCATGAGGTCATCGACAAAGATGAGGTGTGAGATTTTTAACTTCTCGCACATTGGATGGTAGTTGAAATTTGTGCCAACTTCTATGTTGTTCTTGATAAGACGGGTGAGGTATTCCATACAAATCATGAAAAGGAAGGGTGATAGGGGATCTCCTTGCCTTAGACCTCGGGCTCCTTTGAAGTGGCCTTTGAGGCTCCCATTGATAGATAGTGAGTATGACGGTGTAGTGACGCACTCCATGATCCATCTCGTGAAGACCTGTGGAAAGTCTAGGCCATCGAGCACTTGCTTTAGAAACGACCAAGAAATGGAGTCAAACGCTTTGCGGAGGTCGATTTTGATAGTAGACCTCAGGGAGACGTGTTTCCTCAAGTAAAGACGGAGCAATTGTTGCATAAGGTGGATGTTGTCCGTCATGCTCCTCCCTTTAACGAAGGCGGCTTGAGCCTCATCAATGATAGAACCGAGGACACCGCTAACTCGACTGGCAAGGATTTTGGAGCATATTTTGTAGATCGTGTTGCAACACGCTATTGGACGAAATTCCGTAACATGTGAAGAGTGAGAGGCCTTCGGCACTAACGTGAGGGCCGTATGGTTCCATTGCTTAAGGAGCGAGCCGGAGTGGAAGAACTCTTGAATTGCCACCACCACATCGGCCCCAACTATGGACCAACTCTTCAAAAAGAAAGTAGAGGTGTAGCCATCCGGGCCCGGGGATTTACCACCGTCAATGTCTCTTAAAGTACACTTAATATCATCCTCGGTGATCGGGGCAATAAGAGCCCTACAATCATCATCTCCCACACATGGTCCCAACCTAAGGATTTGAGGGTCAATTTCCTCCGTTACGATATCGGTTCCCAAAAGAGCTTCATAGTAGTGAATGAACTCTTTGGTAACTCCCTCCATGGAATCGGTTACGGTTCCATCTTCCCGGTTAATCGAGGCAATGAAATTCCGTTTCGATCGCTTTTTGACTAAGCCATGGTAGAACTTGGTGCATTTATCACCCTTGATTTGAAAGTTGCATTTGGCTTTTTGTTGGTAGAAGTGCTTCTCCGCTTTAGCCAAACTAAGAGCTTCGAGTCTAAGTGAGCCCATCTTGGACTTGGTTTCCGGGTCGTCAGGATTATCATGGAGCACTTTTTGAGCAATCTTAAGGGCATTCTTCGCTTCTTGAGTTCGGGAGGAAATGTGCGAGAAGGCCTCCTCATTAAGTGCTTTTAGGGAGTTCTTAAGGTTCTTCAAATTCGACGCAAGGCGGAATTGCCTTGAGCCCTCACCACCATGATTCCAGGTCTCTTGAACACCCGGCAAAAACTTTTTGTGGGTAGTCCACATATTAAAGAACCGCCACGGTGACCCACAAGTGCGCCTTGCCTCGAAGATAGTTACCAAGCACGGAGAGTGGTCAGAAATACCCGGCGCAAGGAAGGTTGCATGCGAGAATAAATCGGCATTCTCCAATGGGGTATCCACCATAGCCCTATCAAGTTTCGACCAAACGTGGTTGTTGGTCCATGTGTGGAAAAAGCCGCTTGAGGGAATATCCGACAACCCTAATTCATCACAAACTTCTCTAAGATCCCTGGTGTCCCGAATGGTGACCCTTTCTCCTCTAATTTTCTCTTCCGACTTTATAATGGCATGGAAGTCCCCAAGAAGCATCCAAGGCAAGGAGAACCTCCCCAGAGCAGCCCTAAGGTCATTCCATAGCAATTTTCGATCTCCTCTTGTGTGTAGTCCAAATATGAGGCTAGCAATAAACGAGTGGTTGCTGACCTTACAATGGACCTTCGCAAATATGACTTGAGTCAAGGTGGCCTCCACCGTGATGTCGACTTTCGCGGGGTTCCATAGTATTGATATACGCCCACGATTAACAACATCAAAATTTTCACAAAAATCCCAACCCAGCAATCTTCTATCTACAAAGAGAGCTAGCCGCCTAGCATCGGTTTTCATTTCCAAAAGACCCAAAATGTCTATGTTATTTCTTCGGATGAGGTTGATCACCTCATCTTGTTTTAGAGGCCCATTAAAGCCCCTAATGTTCCATGAGGCGATAATCATTGAGAAGAGGAAGGGTTGCCCCATTTCTTCACATTAGTTCCTTTTCCCCCTTCATTTCTCCCACTCGGTTTGCCTCTTAATTTGGATTGTTGACCCGAAGTTGCGGTGGATTGGCTTGCGGCTCCGCTTCGAGTGAGTATCTTGTTGCGCTTACCTACTACTTGGAAGGTGTCGTCCTCATTATCCAGAGGAGCGGTAATGGTTCTGGAGGAAGAGGAAGATGTGTCCGTATTAGTGGTCACCGCCTCATTTCCTTGTACATACTCCTCATGCTCCTTGTTTGTTTCATCCTCGTTCTTTTGATTTTCCTCTATATCATCAATCTCCTTGGGGGTATTCTTGTCACTTCCTATCTTAGGTTGCACGGTTTCCTTTGTTTGTGCCGCTATCTTGGTGGTTAACAAAGGTTCGTCCATCTTCCTTTGTCGGTATCCTTAGGTTGGTGTTTCTTTGCTTGGTGTTCTACTGCTTTCTTAGTAGTCGCCGCGGCTTTACCATCTCCAGTTGTTTTCTTGCCCTCCGCTTTTTTCCCGAGGTGGGCTTTATATTTCCCACAGTTGGTGGTGGAGTGTCCTATGAATTTGCAAAAATTGCAATAATGTGGGACATATTCATATTCCACATTTTGCTCAAATAGGAACTCCCCTTTGGAGGATATGGGAACGCTAAGGGCTCTATCTTTTGAGAGGTCTAGTTAAACTAAAACCTGGGCATAGTTGTGACGAGCCCGTGTTGCTGTGAGCTTATCGGTAGTGATGGGTTTGCCGACATAGGAGGCAATCTTGCTAAGAGACTCCGTACTCCAACATTCTCCGGGTAGGAGGGGGAGGTTGATCCAAACGAGGACAATTTTGATGTCGTCTTCTCCGAATTGGAACCAATTAGGGAGGACTTTAAGGATAAGCCCTCGACCATAGATTGTGTAGGGCCCTCCATGAAGTACCTTCTCTCTATCTTCTTCGTTTTTTAACTTGAAGACAATCCACCCATTTACATTGGGAATGTATTCGTATTGAACTCCCATGAGTTACATAGGTTCAACAAAGCCTCTTTGCTCGGGTGCCTATGAGTAAAGTATCCGACAAGGCAAAAGCTTCATGCGCTCGTAATATCCAATAGGTCTTCGTCATCTAGGTTCACCCCATTGTCCGGCGGTATGTAGTCCAATTTAAGGCCAAGCGAAGCCTTACGGT